GGCGAGCATGTTTGGTGTGACGGGGATTTGAACTCGCCACCCACAGATTGCGAGTCAAATGCCCTAACCACCTGGCCATGATGGGCCTATCAGTTGTCACAAAAATAATCAAGTAATTCAAAAATCCAATTATATCAGTTATCACAAAAATAATCAAGAAATTCAAATTTCCAATTATATCAGTTGTCACACAAATAATCAAGTAATTCAAAAATCCAATTATATCAGCTGTCACAAAAATAGACAAATAATTCAAAAATCCAATTAAATCAGTTGTCACAAAAATAATCAAGTAATTCAAAAATTCAATTATATCAGTTGTCACAGAAATAATCAAGTAATTCAAAAATCCAATTATATCAGTTGTCACAAAACTAATCAAGTAATTGAAATTATGGTTCCAATTATTATTATTATTTTTGATTATTCCAGCTATCCAAGTAATAAAAATATTAAGCAACATAGTAGGTTATCTGTGCATGCTCTGCCTTGTAAGCTGTTTTTTTTTTTACTACTTCAAATTTGTTAAGCTCTAGCAATTCTAGAGTCTCAGGTGTTATTACCATTGTAATCAAACTTGCTTGCCCTTATTTGTTATAGAAAAGCTACTAAAGCTATCTGTAACTTTCTTAAATTTTGAACTGCTGACAACAGGGAAGGCAACTGACTACTAAAACCCACCACCATCTTTTTTCCTTTTTTGAACTGTTGACTAGAGGGAAGGTAATTGGCTGGCAGCACATGCCACCATTTTATTTTTGTTTATTTATCTATTCTTGTCCATATGTACAATGGTTTAAGGAACACTACTAATAAATTAATCAAAGGTAAATTATTGATGGGGTAGTCAATTAATTGATTGGTAAATACTGCCCAGCTTTAATTGCAAGTTGCTACAAGGTTATAACATTGAAAGTTTTAAGTGAAAAAACTTTGTCTCACAGAATGCAGATCTAAATGTAATTGCTGTATTGACTTTTACAGTTACCTTTACTGTTACTATTGATCCAGCTTCTGGAACTACATTTTGTTCTATTCCTCGTTTCACATGAATCACAGAATTCTAGTGGAATAGAAAGTAAAAGAAGCAACAATTAACAATACATATCGAAAGGTAAAAACATTCGACAAATCATACGAAAATTGTCCAGTTAAACAATGTCTTACGTTTTAATACCCTATTAACATTAATTCATTATAAAATAACAAAACCCAAGCCAGACTAGGGTTACAACAGGAAGCAGAGCATTCTTTCATGAACTTAGCTCGATGGATAGTACAGTTTCCCACTCAGTGAGGTTTTAACTCTTTCGCTGCATTGTACCATAAGGCCTATGGTACAATACCCATTTTTGTGAATGCATTGTACTAAAGAATCTAGGACATATAATAACCTTCTTTCCCTGTAGATGTAGTTTCCTTGGCTATCCATATCATGCATTCATCTTCAAATTTACTACTAATTATGCATTCTGTAGATCACACGTTAATGTTCATTTGATTACCATGTATCTTTGGCAGGATAGTACTTTCACAGAAGTGTTGAGATAAAACCTGAGGGTTCTCCGACATTCAGTGATTCACTTCTACAGCTGTATACTGCTGTTTAGCCATGTTAAACTTTCAAACAAAAGGATAAACTACGTTTTTTCTTGTACAAGAGTCTTCCTTCCCTATCATCCCAGAAAAGTAGAAAAATGAAAGCATTGGAGAAGCTCCAAGACTTATCCCAAATAAGTTCCCAATAGTGGATGCCTATAAAGTATGCACTGCACGTGTGTATATTCAAATTAATAAACTGCACAAGTTCATTGTGCATTTCCATGGTTCTAAACATTCAATGTGCATTTGTATGGTTCTAAATGTTCAATGTGCATTTTCATGGTTCTAAAAGTTCAATGTGCATTTGCATGTTTCAAACAGTTCATTGTGCATTTGCATGGTTCTAAAAGATCAATGTGCATCTGAAAAGTAAATTATGTGCAGTTGCATTTTTACATGTAAATGCCGAAGTGCTGAAGAACCACAAACGTTTCTCTAAAAACGTATATCACATTTTATGTATAACAATGGATGCTATATTATGATGTCGATTTTAACATCATTAGATAAACTTTCAATAAAAGTGTCATGAACATCTAATATAACAGAATATGTGTGATCTTACTTCATTATGTGCAAAAGTTGGGTTTTGTATCTGAAAGAGCAAAACGACAAAAAACAAATAAATAAATACATAAAATAATGCTCAGTACCTTTGGAGGACATTACAATATTGTACACATTTTAACCTATGGCTTATACAATTAGAAAATTCCTTAAAATAGTCCCTAAGTTAATCATGAATGATTCAATAAATACATATTTATATATATAGCTTCCTATTTTATAAACACCTTTTCTTATGCCCTTTTGTTAAAAGCAACAAATCTAAAATAGCATATACTTTACTTGAATAATCCATCAACGATAATATTTCTTACTTTCCTTAATCTACAACAAGCTGTTTTTGGTAAATAATTAACTGAAAGGAAATTTTGCAATGTTTTTGAATACTATTTTTCAAAGAAAATAATTCAATGGTTTACCTTGTCCAATTCCATATATATTTCAAATTTTCTCTTGCAGTGTATTTGTAATGAACTTCATGTTCATTCAGACTAAAGTTTTAAATAATTAATCAATTATTGTTGATCTTATATTTCCATGAAACAAACTCAATCACAGGAAAATTTAGAAGACTTGATGTAATGCGAAAATTACTCAAATGATAAGCAGTTTTTTTACAACAGCTTTGGTAAACAAGTCTTAGAAGTTGCACTGACATGAAAGATATCAACATCAGAGTCAATCGTGTTCCTCTAATTAGTATTACATAATAAACTTGCCTTTTCTTGTCTATCAATATGAATGTATCCAGCCAAACTAGCACAGATGTACCCCTGACGAGTGTAAGTTCCCTTTCCTCCTGTTATGTTACTAGTATCAGCACGGCAAATTCTTTGTCCTAGATGCAAGTTACAAAATAAGTGAAACTGCCCAATCACAATATTTCAGCTTATGACCACTTGTTCATATGCTACCTATATGTACACACACAAACAGAAACAAGATTTCCGACAATAATCAGGACTTTAAGTTTAACTAATACCCATCAAGTACACAGGTAGTACATACACAACATTGTATACATTTAGAAAAACAGCACGAATGTTGAAATAATCATTACAAAACCATATTTCTTTGATAGTTTTTGTACTTTTTGTGTATTTAGAAATTTTGCCTAGAGTTGAATGTACAAAAGAAATCCTATTTTTTTTTACAAATATGTTAAAAATACAAGTAAATAAACTGTAAGGTAATAAAATACAATATATTACATTGCTATTTTTAATACTATTTCACAAATCTCCAAACAAATGTGAATGATAATAATAAGAGTAGGAACTGTATATATCAGTTATGACTCATGTACAACTTTAAACTTCAGATGAGATGCTTTTAAATTGTTTTCAGTCAGTTTTCTAAGTTTGACATTTTTAAATAGCATGTAAAACCCATATATATATATATATGTTGGTGTACTTTGGTGACAGATTTTCTTGTAGGCAGATTTTGTTAAACAAGACCGATGTCTGTAGGTTTACTTTCTTATTAGAATTCTTCTCAAGAAGTCGATAAGCCGTCTTAACGTTGTTAGAACAATGGGTAAAAGTTGTAGCTAGTGATGAGTTGGCCGACGCATTTCGAATGCATTCTGCATCCATTATCAAGGCTGAATGTTGTGTGAATTGTGATTACTGTTGGTGGATATTTATAGGTAAGGGTAAGCAGGTATCTAGCTCGTGGGAGGCGTTAATTGGTGAAGTGTTGTATTGTGGCTTGGGGGTTT